CCCCAAAACCCCAAAACCCCAAAACCCCAAAACCCCAAAACCCCAAAACCCCAAAACCCCAAAACCCCAATGAGTCATAACCCCTTGAGATTCCAAAATATTAAATTAAATTATATAAATATGATGTAAATAATCTTAAAGTTAACTTTACTCTTTACATGTATAAAATATACAACCAGTGTTATTTATGTGTGAGTATTAACTAAATGGATCTGATCGTTTCCGGAAATTTTTCGAACCACTTTTTGACACTGACTGTGTCCTTTTTGTAATGTCATTTGGGCTTAATAATCCCTTCCTTTTTGAGTACTCCTTGGCTTCTTCTATTATTATACTTGCAGTTGATTTAGGCTCCACTATCATAGTATTCCGTCTTGACTTGGTTGTGTGTTTAGGTGCTACCTTTGCTGAACTAAGCTTAGGCTTTCCTTTGATACTTTTATTTAATTTTCCTATTTTTTTGGCTACTGACACCTCGCTTTCTGTCTCCTCGTTCTAAATATTTAGCAACTCTACTTACTTTGCTTATTTGGACTCTTCTTCCTTCTTGACTCTCTCCTCGATCAAGGTCTCGTTGACCTTGACAACTTCCTGGAGCACGGCTTCACGCTCGTCGAATATTTTAAGGCGATCTGCTTCTGCCTTCTTGCGTTCTTCTCTGCTTAAATTATTTGCATCTTGCTTCAACCTGAACAGCGTCAGATTGGCTTCGTCTGCTCTGATTTGGACTTCGGTGTTGTCTTGCTCGCTGAATCTCAACAACATACCGATTAACTCTTCCTGGATCTCAGGGTCCATCAGCAGATACTGGAGGTTCGGAATCATTTTGATTATTCGAAGTTTGACTGACCGATATGGGGTCTCAGATACTGCTTTCAAAGGCTCGAATAGCTTGTCTTCGATGGTCGACATTGTAAATGGCAACACTCAGCAGATTTCGAAGAAGTCCACAAACAGTCACTGCAGCCTCGATGAGTCGGCCGTAGACAAATCTGTGACAACGCTCTTCATGATGGAGTCTGCTTCTTCGAGGTCGTAACTGTACAGAATGAGCGCCGCCAATATTTCAAGGCTGGTGTATTGCAGAGGCTTGATCCCTTCTTTGGCATACTCAATCAAGGTCTCATGGAACAGCAAGCTCACTTCGGGAATTGGAAACAGCAGAATGTTGTCTCTGATTTTCTGAAGCAACTCTTTATGCTCTCGCCACTTGTAAGTTTTGTTGTGCAAATTAGCATCCAGTATCATCAGCTGTTTCATCAGGGACACGAAGGGTTGCTTTTCTTCGGAAATCAGCAAATTTGCATTACTTAAAGGCGAATTTTCTTGCTCTTCATCAATTTCTTCGTTGCTCATTTTGGCTGTAGAAGCTTTTCTGAAGGAGTTCTTCTTTTTCTTCTTGGAAAGTTCATCGAAACGAGCAACTTGCAAGTTGGAGTTCTTTTTGCCTTTGATGAGAACTACACTCATAGCATTAACAACCAAACGGAACAGATCAACAAAGTAAAGTGTAGTAGAATGGCCTTACCTTTAGGCGTTTTATGATCTTGACTCTTGGTTTCTTCGTCGTCTTCTGGCACAATTTCTACATCCTCCCACGGCTCGATGTCTGTTTCGTTCTTAAACATGTCGATAAAGCATTCTATGTTTTCGACCATGATGCTCATAATTTGGTCGTTGGTGTCTTGCAAAAACTCAAACAACAGTTTATTTGCAAAACCCAAGTTTCTGGTTTTCAGAGATGACTTTTTGTCAAATGTCTTTGAAGCAAGCGGCCATTATAATTCTGATTTCTTCAGAGTCATCATGAGCCAGTTTATTTGGTATACTCCACCCATTGCGAACTCATAATTGGTCACTTAAATTCTTCTTCGGTAGGTTCTGTGCTGCCTCCATCTTCGGAGTAAAGCTGGGTGAAGAAGTATGAGAAGTTGTAGGCTGCTTTCTTGCGCAACTGGTCGTTCTGGTTGTTGAGGAGTCCTTCGAAGAACTCAATCACGCTTGTCCGAAGCCCATGCTCAAGCTCGCTGCTCTGCAACTGGTGCATCAGCTGTCCACACAGAGTTGCCATCGAGTAGAGCACTTCTTCATGTTCAAGCACTTCTTTGCGAAGAATATCGACGATCAGAGGTTCTAGACGTTGTTGGAAGTCTTGTTTGCTGATATGCTTTGTGCAGTACAGAATGGTTTCAAGTGCTTCCATCTTGACAAAGTTCTCTTCGTCACAGAGCAAGTCCTGCAACTTGTCGATGACCATGTCGTAGAATCCAGGCTCTTCGCTCAAGTACAGCGGTGAATGTTCGACGATCCTTCTGAGTCTGTTGGCACCCATTTGTCTGATTTTCCAGTTGATGATGTCACCGCAGAGTGAGAAAGTCAGAGAGACAAGCTTCTTGTGTCGCTCGAAAGCTCTTTGGCCATAAACAGAGCAAATTTCTAAAAGCATCTCACCAGACAGCAATCGATTGGAGAGTTTCTTTTCGGTGACAGATGTAAGAGGCATCAGAATTGGGACCACTTCTTCGACCAGGTAGTCGAGGTCACACTGGGGCACCGACAGTGTAAACACTTTGCACCAGGCTCTGACCAAGTCGTCGTTATCTTCGAGCTCAAATATCAACGTTATTGCTTTGCTGACAAGGTTCTGGAGTATTTCTGGGTCAATCAGTTTCATTTCTAGCGGCTTCACAAAACTGGTGGCTCATTCAAGCTGCATGACTTCGTCCCAGTCGATCATGGACTCAATGATGATGAGGAGGAGCTCTTCTTTGTCTCCATCTTCTTGCAGATACCTGTGTAAATGATTGATCACTGATGTTTTCTGGACCCCGTAGCCTTTCTTGAGCAGGAGGACTGCTCGGCCTATTTCAGACAAGCCCTCTCTAGTCATAAACTTTTTGATTTCTTCTTCTGTCTTCACTTTCTTGATGGAGAGTCTGGCTTCATCGTCAAAAGGGTCTGACATCCAGTCGAATGCATCTGACATTTTATCTCAAATATTATATAATCCCCAATTGTCTCTATTCCACCTGGGGTTTTGGGGTTTTGGGGTTTTGGGGTTTTGGGGTTTTGGGG